TGGACTTCGACCGCTGTCTGTCTGTCTGACTACTACTACTACTACTACTACTACTACTACGACTACGACTACTACGACTACGACAGCCTTCGACAGGGGCTACGGACAGGGGCCTATGTCAGGGTCTCCGATGGCCTATGACAGGGGTGGACAGGGCCTCTCAACAGGGCGGGGCGTGACAGGGTTACAGGCAGAGCCATGGACAGGTGAAGGGTAGGCTGTCGGAAGGGGTTCTTTGTGGTCGTTTCTTGGGCGAGATTCAAATCGTGGCATCTTACCAAAGTGCATGTAAAGCTTGCCCCACGGCCTCAGCGCGTTGCAAAGCTCATCCTCAGCTTCAGAACCCGTGCATGCATAGTTCAATGTACCGCAACCGACGCCTGACTCGCTTGCTGCATCATGGCTCCACCAAACTTGTCTCATCGTCGCTGGCGTCGGGCTCCAGGGTTAACCGACGCGCCTTCCGTAGGAGTTCTTGAGAAGAAAAACGGGGACGAAGTGGCATGCCCAATGATGGTGGGAGACGCATGTGCAGTTCTGCTCTGACCTCCACAGCTGCAATGAGGCTGCGCCGCATCGAGCGGGAGCAGCGGAGCAGCGAATACCTTGCAGCAACTAGCTACTTCTGCAGTCTGTTAAGCAGTAGCAGTCTCGGTGTCGGCCGCACTGGTCGGTCGCAAGCTTCCAGCATTAACACCCTAAGCAGTTGATGTATCCCACGGTAGCACCCAAGCCATAAGTATGGTATCCGGAAATTGGTGACCGCATGTGGCCACCGTGTTGTCGCAACGAATAGCATAAAACTTGGAGCACATCTCGGGCGTCACGACGCGGCGTGTCCGCCTCTCCAGCGGAACGTGGCCTGCAGGGCGCCGCATTGCATCCTTACGCTATACGGCCGCCGAGTAACCTGCACAGCCTTGCATGGTTTCTTCACTTGTCGGCGCCTGCAGGTTTTTATCTCGCAAGTAGTCTTCGGCCTACGAGCATTCTCATCAGTGCTTGTCCTGCCTACTCCAAAAAAGAGGTGGATGTACTCCACTGCAAACGAGTGTTGAACCTCAGAGCAAGGCAACAAGGAAGACACTGCAACATAGCAGTGATGGCCTCCGATTGAGCCCCAAGCCTGTACGTCCCAAAGCATGCTGGCCAACCGACCGCCGAAGTCCTCAGGGCTGACAAGTAACGAGAACGCTTCATGGTACTTCTGGCCGTCGCGTTCGGCTTTACATTGGCCTAACCGCTAACCGTCAGCAGACCCATCAGCCCAAGCAATCTGCAGCGACGGCACCGGCGGGCTGACTTCCTCGGCCAGCAGCACCTCCAGTTCTGTCCGCTCCTGAGACCATGGCAAGCAGTGCGGGAAGGAATGCTCGAATGGTGTAAAGCACTGCCGGCACCTCGTCAAATAAGAAAACATCAAGCTTACGACCGAGGGGTTCGTTCTGTGTTTCCAGGCCACACCTTGCCTATGCAGTCATGGAGGGATTGAATTGGGGAAGCCCCAGCCCCATCTCTCTCACCTTGGTGATCCGCCGCAGCTTGGCAGGGATGAGCTGGGAGTCGACTTCCGCCATCCCTGGTCAATATGGAACGAACAGAATGTGGTGGCTGCAACTTGGGCACAAACTGGCATGGTTGTGAAGCTACTGTGGCTTTGTTTCAAGCTGGAGCAGTGCATCTTCAACATCTAGAGCCGCACGCAGACCGTCTTCCGTCAGCCACACATTCCATGGCCTGGTTTATGTTGAATTCAGGGTCCTGTCTCGTATGGTCACTGTAATTTGTGCCTCTGCTTGTCCCGTTTCGACGGCTTGTAGTGTTGGGTAAGATGAAAAGGCGGCCAATCGCAGTCTCACCCTCAACTTCCGGTACTGCGACAAAGAACACTGCAGTAAAGTTCAAACGACCCTGATCTGAGACCACGATCATTCACATTCTATCCAGCCAGCGGTGCTTGCAAACTGACCTCTAAGCATGTGTGTGTGTATATATATATACGTATACATATATGAATACACGCACAACTTAAAAAGCTTGGGTGGCAGTGGTATCTGCCTTTCAAGAAGGCATGATTGGCAATTGTAGTTGCGCATCACATGAAGACATATCGTCCTTTGACAGGATGCAAGAGAAGCAGCCTCTGGGGTGCACCGCCGCCAACACCTGTGATGTGAAGTATGCTTCGTCAACTTTGGGATAAATGATAAATGCCTCATGGCAATTGCCACGATTCGCCGCGGTTGCTGCTCTGCACGACTTGGGGTCCGGGAGTTTAGAGGGCTCCTAGTTGCGAGTCCAAGAGTCTCGACTCGCCCAGACAAGCAGAGCTTGATAGTCTGATAGACTGTCTGAGCAATGCCACATTGTGTAAGCAGGCAGATTTTCAGTCCCAAGCTAAGATCGGCATCATCCAATGTCCGCCATTAGAGGACAAGGCATTCACTGCAGTCCCATCGTAGAGACTCCAAAACGGCTCAGGCTATGGACGCCCTCACAAGCATGACAAATCATTAGATGCGCACCAGAGAATGTGGGATCGTACCACTACTCTCACAAAGCCACGTGAACTCGTGCCAGCCGAGAGGCAGAGCTCGAGAGCTCAACTGCCGGACCCGCACGGCTGGGAAGAAAAAGTTGGGCTTTGCAGCCAGCACGCCCAAGCGCCAAGATACTATTTTGCATATCTATGTATACATGTATATTCATATATACATATACATACAAGTATGCAACCACGCATGTGTGCATACATCTGCATACATGCACACACACACATAAGTACATATACATGTATGTGTACGTATGTATGTGTATATATATATACACATAGACACACACGTATGCATGCCTGGCTGGATGATCTGCATGTATTCATGTAGTGTACGCGCGTGTATATGTATGTATGTATGTATGTATGTATGTATGTACGTTTGTATGTGTATACATACACATGTATGTATGTATATATATATATGTATATAGTTCTGCACACATGTATTCCTCTTAGATTCTTGCTTGTACAGACAATCTGCAATACAGGTCTATATGTATACACATATATAATTTTTAGCTGTAAATGATTATGCATAATTATATATAACAAACTGTATATAATTATATACAATTATATATAACTATATATAACTATATATAACTATATGTAATTATATGTAATTATATGTAATTATATATGACTATATACAATTATATGTGTGTGTATGTATGTATGTATGTATGTATGTATGTATGTATGTATGTATGTGTGTATATATATATATATCGTCAGTTATTCCCAACATCACTGTATGGTGCTTGCTTTCTTAGACGCTATCCGCTCACTCACTCCCTCCTTCCCTCCCTCGCTGCACACGCAGACCCACCCCCACACCCACAACCACACCCACACCCACACACACACACACACACC